TAAAACCGGCCAGATAATTCGCTAAATTGCTCAGATGCAGTCACAAATCACAATACAAAACAACACCAAAGGACTGAAAACTGAACGGAACTGAAAGACAAATAATCTTTACCTGTCAATAAATAATTGCCATATAAACAAAAAAATATTGATGACGAACATCATTCCTATCATTAAATCGTAAACCATTATGATTTTATGCAACAATTATGCATTCTTAGGTATAATATTTATTTATTTATTTTTATTTAAAAACTTAAATGTAAAACCTTAAGGTAAAGGGTACATAGGGCGGACTTAATGCCATATGACATTCACTGCCAGTCAACCCTGTAACAATTGTAGGCAGGTGCGAAACATAATACATAAATAAAGTGTATTTATATTAAAATATAATATATACATAGTACATACATACATAACATGTATTTAAATAAATATATATTTAAATATATATAACATATATTTACATACAATAATACATACATACATATATGTAATGTGTGTACATGCTTATAAACTTTATAAATATCCGTATTAATATATAAAAATAAATATTTGAAGAAAGAAAAATGTCAGTTAGTAAGTGCCTTCAGGTAATGTCGTAAAAGTAATTTAAATGAGTTTCTATTTGTAGCATTCTCAATATCATCGGGGAGGGTGTTCCAAAGATATATAGCTTGTATCGTAAACGAGGACTTGAAAAAATTGGACCTATGCTGTGGAAACCTTATCCTCAGACGGTTTGATTGTCGTAGTATTCGGCCGTCAATTGAATGAAGAAAATGAAAGTTATCCTTAAGATAAGAAGGCATCCTTGGATCGTTTAAAACTGAATAGAGTACAAGTAATATTCTAGAGCATCGCCTTTGACGTATAGGTAGCCGTTTAAGCTTTGAACGATAGGAAGATATGTGGTCATACTTAAGTAAACCGAAAATAAACCTTATGGAATTATTAAGAAGGCGCTCCAACTTGCTTAGAAGATTTTGTTACAAATCTGGGTAACATACATCTGCATAATCTATAATAGGTAGAATGAGGCAATGAACAAGTGTAAGCTTGGTTTTGAAAGGTAGGAAATTTTTAAGACTATAAAGGAAACGCAAGGTGGCAACAACTTATCCAAATACGTAAAGCAACCCGAATCCACTAAACAATGGCGCCACAGCTGCGCAACAACAACAACAAAAGTTTACTCACCTGACGCTGCGACGACTTAGCGGAGCGCGTGCAATATATCTATCCCCCTCACACTTGTAATAACTCGATAGCGCTGTCTCACGAACTTGCTAGCATAGGGAATTCCGTGGCATTCCGTATAAAAATATTACCAAATTACTTATATCACCAATATACCTTTCCTTACCCCATATTAGATAAATATATAAACAATAAAATAACGAAATATAATAAAAAATAAATCAAAATATAAGTATAAAATAACCACTACGCTATTCGCATAAACCACTAAATCAACTATTCTACTATCACTGCATTATCCCATTAGTTGACTGATAAAGATAACAATCATTGTATTAAAAATATATCTTAAAATTAATAAAACATTAAAAAAACACTATTAGAAAAGTAGCAGTAAAAAACACTATTAGAAAAGTAGTACCAGAAACAGAGTATAACAAAACATAAACATTCAACAAATTAATAAGTCCACAACTTAGTAATATTTCCCAACAAAGATAAAAGTCAAAAATTTAATTTGTTTGTGTTCGTGGAACCAAATCATTTCTTAAAATCAATGTTAATAGAGATACAATAAACAATGTAAATTTAATCAGGGTATGGAATAAAATCTGTTTGCCAGCAGTATTTATAAATATTGAATCACACAAGGCTGTAAGGTCTAAGACCTTTGCCTGCCTTAGTTGGCGAATCGTAACAACAACAATATCTAGTCAAGTTGCGGGAGCTGCCGAGAGCTTTTTTAAAACTAAATACAAACTACGACTTAAAACTAAATATAAACTACGTGTTCACATAGTGAGATGTGAATTTATTCTGACCATTGTCTTTTACAATCCTTAATCCTATGCTTACAGTTTACTTAAATTACTACATACTCAGCGTTTATGTATTTATGCTGATAGATGCTTTATCTGTATCATGGGTGGTGCTGGTGTAACCATAACGCCTCCCTCCTCAACTGCAAAGTTATCGCCAAGATTTGGATTCCGATAATTTAGCATATAATATAAGAGCTTAGACTTATTTTTCCAAATTACAACAATAAGACTAATTAAGACTAATATGTCATAGAGTAGTACAGTAGCTAAACTAACACGACTTTTCAATATATCACTTTTCAGTTTGTACGAGAGATATTTTAGTGCACACAAAGTAACGCGATTTAAATTCACTGTTATCTCCGTATTTGTAAGCTGCTCTATCAATTTGGGTAGAGTTAAAATAGGTGTCACTTTATATTGCAGTTTTCCTGAATAGTATCATTTCCGGTGTAATTTAATATTGCCTAATTTTATCTCACAGTTTTCATCGATTTCCAAGAGGTAAGTGCCCTTTACAGCATTTCTCTGAGTGTTATCGCCCCACGTATTTGGAAGCACAATTTCATAGTAGTGTAGTTGTACCACTTCTGGACCACCTGAGTCAGAAGCGGTTCAACGACGTTCGTCGACACACGATCCTAAATAAAAAAAAAAAAGGTTTTGGCATGCTCTGATCACGAATCTGCGGTCCATTTTTGCGTAGGATGCACGGTTCCGGAGATGTGCAGATCAATTAGCTAATATCTAATTGATATCCGTTAAGGGCCTCCACCGTCATTAGCGTCCCATTGTTCCTATTTCTATTGTTCTATTGTTCATTAATCACCTTCATTGCAGCGTGTGCGTCGACTATATCAGTGCTATTGTATTATACTTCTTTGTTCCTAATTATACAACGCTAATCTGAATCATCAATAAAACACATTACATAATTTTGTTACAATTTTTATTTATAAAATACAAAATCTTATTACTTATTATCTATAAAATAGGAGCGAAACATCTCATCCACTAAAATATCGTTGTACAATGTGTTCCTTGTAAATATACTCGTAGAACTATGTATTGAACATCCCTGAAACTTATATAGCAAATACATTAAGCAATATTCGCCACAAACTGAAGTCCACTCATTCTGAATCCTATCAACATTCCAGTTCCATCTTTTACAATTCCTTTTTAAAAACTCTAGATGATATCGTACAGGTGATCGTCCATATGAATCAAAATATTGACCGACGTCATTCGTATCGATATATAAAGCTACCCAATGTGACCCTGGTTTATCATCTGTATCCAAATTACATATTATATACGTTGGTACGTGGGTATACATAGGCAGTCTATTAGCTGCATAAACATTATTTTCTAGACTGGGGTGAATCTTTTTCAGATGTTGTTGTACATCTAGTGTATCCATGATATTACTGCTATTAGTAGATTATTACAGTACCAATCTACTCAATGAATAACATAGGAATGGTCAATTATAGTGATTTCTAAATATTAAATTGCATTTTTGTGTTATACAAATCGTACTTGAGTCATTGATCACCAAACAAAACACAATACGAAGAAATGTTGAGATAGGCAACGGAAATGTGAGATAAACTGGTTGATGCATAAAGTAATTATCAACTCATTACGGAAATACTTTAGATTAGAATTTTTACGTACTGGTGGTATATAAGACCAACAGACGCAGTCATCGAGTTAGTGTATGGTCGTTTGACTGCAGTGGATCTATCAATAGTACATTTGTGTTACTTCAATGCACCAAAGGCTATGGATGTAAGTGTTTATTCTATTGACTAAATTACTTTTTTTCTGTTATTTTCATGCGTGTGTATTATTTTATTTAAATATTGTGTATGTATATGATTAAGCCGTGGTAACTCAGATGGTTAGCGCTAGCTGTAAATTTCACAGTACGCGACCCGGGTTCGATCCCCGCCAGCACCAATTAAATTGTTACTCGCAATTTTAAGTGCTTATTACCACGTGCTTGGTGGTGAAGGAAAACATCGTGAGGAAACCTGCATGTCTGAGAAAATTTCGAAGGCATGTGAAGTTCGCCAACACACATTGAGGCAGCGCGGCGGACATTTCCTTGCCCTAAAACCCTCTCAGAAATGAGAGGAGGCCTATGTTCAGCAGTGGACTTTAATAGGCTGTAACTTTAACTTTTTTAACTTTTATGATTAAGTGTTAACAAATTGATATTAACATGATAACTGTGTTATTGCAGAAATCATTGAGCTTCGATGAAAATACCTATAAACAGTATTACTACTCGCCACTCTCCTCTCAAGAAGAGAGTGATGACCTCGTCATTAATAATAACACATGCGATGGTGGAAAAAGAAAATCGCAATCGATTGATCATTTTTTTGAAGCTGAATCAAAAATAAAAAAGAGGAAGCTGTTATCATCAACCGTAGCACGAGCCGCTAGAGATGGTGTATCATACATTTCTACTAATTCTGACGACGGAGACCAAGCGACGCATCTCATCAAAATTGAAATGTACGATATGAAGAAGCTATCCAAGATTCCAACTACTGATCATTGGAAACATGCTTCCACGAGAATTAAATATTACGTAAAGACTAATAAGGATAGCATCTACGACAACACAAACGCCCTCGTATACAATATAACAAAGACAATAGCAGAAAGTGAAAAAGTTAAAAAATACTTTTTTAACAATGACAGTCATTAGCTGATTATTAGTGAATGTGATTCTGTTTACTTCAATTACTTCTGTGTACTCATTACATTCTATGTCATTAGCTGATCATTAGTGAATGTGATTCTGTTTACTTCAATTACTTCTGTGTACTCATTACATTCTATTTATAATCCTTTGCTAGACTATAAATATCGAACATTATTTGAAATTTTGGTATCAGTTGGTCTACGAACACTGAACTGTTACTTACTCTGCTATTTATTTTCTTCTTTACTATAGGGATGGAAAACTTCAGTGAAGTGTGCACCAGCGCTTTTTTCTCCACAATCATGGAAGAGAATACGGAACTATTCAATAGCGAATTAAATCAGGAGTTGTCTAAAGTTTGTGAAGAAATGGAGAGGGGTCAACTGTTCGATTCGTCATACGATGATGAGTTGTATCATCACTGTGCGATGGTTGAAACACAGTTTAAGTATGTAAAATAAACATTCATTTCGATCATAATTTACATATTGTCTTATACAGTTTTTAATTAATTTAAACATTTAAGCAGTCAACCACTACAACTTGGAAGAGGAACGAAGCGAACGTGCAGCAAAGAATCCAAGATCATCAAAAAACCAACAACGGAAGCAGAAGCGCATACCTCTGCAGGGAACAGTATCAGTAACGATGATCAAGTGGAATGTCCAACGTGCCATATATTTATCAAGAAACGGTATTTAGCTAGTCATTTTAAAAGTAATGTTCATAAAAATAATCTTTTAAATTCACATAATTCTTTATCAAACGTTAGTGTTATTGAATCTGCTTTTGGAAATAGGATTTTAACTTATAAAATCAAGAGTAGAGTAGATCGTTCGACATGGGTAAATTTTGAAACTCCTGAACTATTTTTAAATTCTATTAAAGATGATATCTTATTTTTATTACAAGAGTGTATTCATCAACACATAATTTTTAAGGTAAACTTCATATTGCATGCTGATTTTGTTCAACAAACTAAAGATATTCATGATACGTTCGATTTTCAAACGCTTAACTATATTATTTGTCAAGGAGATGACTTAAATATTTTTCTTTCATCTTTAAATGATACAATTACTACTAAAATTAGTGCTTTCGAAAAAAAAGATAGTGGATGGAGTCTAAAAAACATAAAATCTATAGACATGAATGCTAATAAATTTAACCCCCTACGCGGTACTTCATACATAGATCTTCCTCGTGACATAAAATTAAAAAAGGCTGTTATAAATGTAAAAAACAAGGATTATTTTTGTTTTAAATGGGCGTTACTCTCGGCGTTATATCCCGTAAACAAACACACCGATCGGGTATCATCGTACGTTAAACATGCAAATAAACTTAAATTTGATGGTATTTCCTTTCCGGTTAAAATTTCTGACATAGCAAAAGTAGAGAAATTAAATGATATTAGTATTAATGTTTTTGGGTTAGAATATAATAAAGAAAAACGATGTAATTCTATAGTAGGTCCATTATTTTTAACAAAGTGTCGTAAAGATAGACATATCAATTTATTATTTTTTTCCAAGGATACAAAAAATCATTATTGCTATATAAAAAATTTATCGCGGTTAGTTAGTAAACAAATTTCAAAAGACGGTCACATCATGTACATTTGTGAAGCATGTCTACTTCGTTTTCCATCTCAGGAAAGGTTAAATAACCATGAACAATACGATTGTGCCCACATTTGTACAGTATTACCAAACAGTGAAACTTTAAAAAAAAAGAATTGGTTTGGTCAACCTATTTCAAATGATAAAATTAAATTTGATAGTTATGAAAAAAAGTTAAAGATACCATTCGTAGTTTATGCTGATTTTGAAGCATTTTTAAAACCAATAGAATCATGTTCTAACGATCCTTCCAAACCTTTCACTCGTAATATTCAGAAACATGAAGTACATAGTTTTGGATATTATATAAAATGTTCATATGATGATAAATTATCAAAATATGTAACATATTGCGGACCCAACTGTGCACAAGTGTTTATGGAAAGTTTATCTAACAATCTAAAAGAAATAAATAGACTTCAAAAATATCCGCCACTTCCGCTAACAAATGAAGACAAAAACCAAATTTCAAATGAAACCATTTGTCATATTTGTGAAAATGAGTTGGCAAAACATTTTTATGATTTTGATTGGTACACTGGTAGTTTTATAGGTGTTGCTCATGAATCATGTTGTTCGAAGTTCAGAACACTTCGTTATATACCAATATTTTTACACAACCTTAGTCACTATGATGCTCATTTTATTGTTCACGCGTTAAACTTTTGTGATGGTGAAGTCGAAGTTATCCCTCAAAATAAAGAAAAATATATATCCTTTTCCAAAAAATTAAAAGTGAATAACCACGAAATTATATTGAGATTCTTAGATTCATTTAAGTTTTTATCGTGTAAATTAGAAGAATTGGCCAAAAATCTCAGTAATGATCAATTTCAAGAATTACGTAGAAATTACCCTAATGATGAAGATTTCTTTCGTTTAAAACGGAAAGGTGTTTATCCATATGAACTTATGACTAATTATGATAGTTTAAGCCTAACATCGCTCCCTGAACAAAAATGTTTTTATAGTTCACTCACAGATTCACATATTTCAAATGATGATTACAATCATGCTAAAGATGTTTGGGAACATTTTGGGTGTTGTAATATGCTAGATTATTCAAACCTGTATTTAAAAACAGACGTTTTACTTTTATCCGATGTATTTGAAAACTTTAGAAAGTTATGTATTAATACATATGATTTAGACCCTGTCCATTATTACACAGCACCCGGTTTAAGTTGGGATGCAATGTTAAAATATACAAAAATAGAATTAGAACTTTTAACAGATTATGAGAAAATTGCATTTATTAGATCAGGTATCAGAGGTGGTGTATCTCAATGTAGTAATCGTTATGCTAGAGCTAATAACAAATACATGGAGAATTATGATACAGGGAAACCAAATTCATATATCACATATTTTGATGCCAACAATTTATATGGTTGGGCTATGTCTCAATATCTTCCTACTGGTGGATTCGAATGGGTAAATCCAAATACAGAATTTAATGTGTCTAAGACATCAGACTTCGGTTTTATTTTAGAAGTTGATTTGGAATATCCAGATGAACTTCATGATTTACATTCGGACTTTCCTTTATGTCCAGAAAACATTTGTGTAGGCAATATTAATGAGAATAAACTAGTCCCAAATTTAAATAATAAAGATAAATATGTAATTCATTACAGAAATTTAAAACAGTGCATAGAAATGGGGGTTAAATTAACTAAAATTCATAGAGTTTTAAAATTTAAACAGTCTCCCTGGTTGAAGATGTACATAGATTTAAACACAAAATTAAGAACTTTAGCAAAAGCAGATTTCGAAAAAGGTTTTTATAAATTAATGAATAATTCAGTCTTCGGTAAGACTATGGGAGAATATTGAAAAAAGGGTTAACATAAAATTAGTTACGCACTGGGAGAACCAGGGTAAAGCTTTAGGTGCTCAAGATCTAATCGCTAAACCACAATTTCATAGCCTTTCAATATTTTCGGAAAACCTAGTTGCGGTTCAGTTGCGAAAAACGAAGTTAATATATAACAAACCAATTTATTTTTTTAATATATTAGGTTTTGCATTTTAGATATTTCAAAAACATTAATGTATGATTTTCATTATAACTATATGATTAAAAAGTTTAGTAAAATCAAATTATTGTATACAGATACGGATAGTTTAATATATCATATATTTACAAATGATTTTTACACTGATATAAAACCTGACCTTTCATCATACTTTGATACCTCAGATTATGATACAAATAATATTTTTGAATATCCAAAATTAAATAAAAAGAAATTAGGTTTTTTTAAAGATGAAAATAATGGTAAAATCATGAAAGAATTTGTGGGTTTACGATCCAAAATGTACGCTTTTAACTTAGAGAATAAGACTATAGCCAAGGCAAAAGGGGTAAATAAATGTATCACTAAAAAGATGACAATGAATAGTTATAAGTCTTCTCTATTTAATAAAAAAGTGCAATATTATAGTATGCTTAGATTTAAATCAATTAAACACACAATTTTCACACAAAAATTAAATAAGATAGGTTTATCATATAATGACACAAAGAGACATATTTTAGATAATAATATTGAAACATTAGCTTGGGGTCATTATAAACTGCGTTAAGTGTTGATAGTTTTTACTTTTATGTCTGCGTTTAAGAAAAATTTATTTGATTGTAAAATTATGATAATACTATAATATGACGTAGTTTATTACATATTTAATCATTGTTTTATTGTAAATAATTTAAGTTAATTGTTGTTTCTATTTATTTGAGGTTGAGTTAATTGTAAAATTATGATGTACTAATTACTGTTTCTATTTATTTGAGGTTGAGTTAATTGTAAAATTATGATGTACTAATTGTTGTTTCTATTTATTTGAGGTTGAGTTAATTGTAAAATTATGATGTACTAATTGTGTTAGAAATAGTATACAGATAATTCTGTTTTATATAATTTTTGGAATATATATTAATTGTTTACACTTTCATTTTTTATTTTACACCCCTTTGAACTTTAGACGTGTGTTATGTTTCACTTTATCCATCCGTTCACTGCTATTGTGGCAGGACCAAGTGGGTGTGGGAAGTCAAATTTTGTAACAAATTTCATAAAATCAGTTACAGAAATATGTAATTGTGATTTTAATCAGATCACATGGTGCTTTGATGAAATGCAACCATTATATAATTTACCAAATGTTAACTATCATCAAGGAATTCCAAATCTTAATATGTTTGATGGTGAAAACCCACATCTTGTTATTATTGATGATCTAATGAGAGAGTCCGATGGAAGAATTGTGGATATATTTACAAAAGGTAGTCATCACAGGAATCTTAGTGTATTTTATCTAACACAAAATTTATTTCATCAGGGTAAAGGACAAAGAGACATATCTTTAAACTCAAGTTATATAATATATTTTAAAAACCCTCGAGATAAAACTCAAATAAGATATTTAGCAAGACAAGTATCACCAGATAACCCAAAATTCATTGAAGATGCCTACAGAGATGCAACTCTAGAGGCGCATGGATATTTAATGGTAGATTTAAAACAGAATACCAATGATTTTTGTCGTATCAAGACAAATGTCTTTCCATTTAATGGTTTCTGTACAGTCTACGTCCCCACAAAAGAGTTTAAATACACCAAGAATCAAACAATTGAAATCATTGCTAAATGATGCATCGTCGACTCACAACGTATAAACATTTGCTAACCGCTTTGCCTACGCTTAAACCAAAATATCAAAGAGCATTACTTAAAACGTGTGATGAAGAAGAAATTAACTGTATTTGTGAGTGTATTCATAACGTTTTACAAGGAAAAGTACCTCTTAAAGATCAGGATAAACAAAAATTGAATAAACATAAAAACATATTCCGTAAACTAGTACGTAAGTGTAAACATAAACTAAGAAAAAATATAATTATACAAAAAGGAGGGGCTTTCTTACCAACAATATTAGGTGCAATATTGAGTGGATTAGTGAGTGGACTAGCCAGTTAACATGGAAAATGCAAAGAAAATGATACTTATCGAACCTGGATTGATTGAAAAATTAAAACAAGAAAATAAGGTTAATAGTAATTTATCTCGATTAGATATTGAAATGCAAAATATTATGAATAGTAAGACGGAAGACCGAAAGAAATGGATATTATATTTACAAACACTGCAAAGATACCTTCATTTTACCGAAGAGGATCGTCAACCACTCAAATTACCAATTTATTCTGATACATCTAATGAAGATTCAAATGAGTCAAAAATTGGTTTTAAAAATAAAGATAGAGATCTAAAAACTTCAGTTGATATTGAATCTTTGCTGGAGGAGAATCGATCCATTAAAAGTAAAGAAAATGATGAAAATCCACTTTACACACCAGCTCAAATACTCAGTTTAATACCAAAAACTTATCATAAAAAAGGGCAGTTATTATTAAACTTAGTTGAAACAAGTAAAAGTAAAATACATTGGGATAATGAAGGTACAGTCATAATTGATAGTGAAAAAATTCCTGGAAGTAATATTGTTGATTTAATAAATGATTCACTTAGACCCCTAAAAAGAAGTGATCCGGTAGGGTAGTAGTAGTCTAGATCCGGTAGGGGTTAGATTTGCTGAAGCATTAAAAGATATTAAAGTACCACTTACTTATATTGGAAATCCAAGGAGATGTGAGTTTATTAACCAACTTCAAGCAAAAGATCTGAACAAACCCTCTGAGATTGAGGTTCAAGAGTTTTCTACACCGGGCAGTAGAGATAAAAAGTCTACAACTAAAATACGTAAAGGACTTGAGTGGGAAAAATGGACCCCGTACTAGAAGAAATTAACAGGATTTATTATGATCCATCTAATCCCGCTGGTTTTGGTAGTATTGATAAATTATCAAAAGCCATGAAGGGTAAAATGAATAAAAAGCAAGTAAAGGAATGGTTAAAATCACAAGAAACATACACATTACATAAACCCATTCGAAAAAAATTCCCGCGTAATAGGTACATTCTATCAAATATTAATGAACTGTGGCAAGCTGATTTAAGTGATATGCGAACTTATTCTCAATATAATGATGGTTTCAAGTATATACTTTGTGTTATTGATGTATTTAGTAAATATGCTTTTGCAAGACCAATGAAAAAGAAAAACTCAGAAACAACTAAAGAATGTTTTGAAAGTATATTTACTGAAAGTAATTTAACACCTACTCACATACAATCCGATAAAGGTACAGAATTTGTTTCAAAAGATGTACTTTAAATCCAAAAAGATTAATTACTATACCACTAACAATCCTGACATTAAGGCCAGTATTGTTGAACGATTTCAAAGAACACTAAAAATGAAAATGTGGCGTTATTTCACTCATAATAATACTAATAGATATATAGATGTTTTACAAGATTTAATATACTCTTATAATCACAGCTTTCACTCTAGTATTAAGATGTGCCCATGTGATGTAAATTCCAACAATATTATGACAGTTTGGACTAATCTTTATGATAGACGGTCAAAAAAACTTTCTTTAGAAAATCCTAAACCAAATTTCAATGTGGGTGATTATGTTCGAATAACTAAATATATATGTATTCCAAAAAGGATATGAATCAAATTGGAGTGATGAAATATTTATTATATCTTCAATAATTGATAGATCTCCATGGGTTGTTTATACAATAACAGATTTACAAAATGAACCAATAATTGGTACTTTTTATGAAAGAGAATTACAGAAAATCACTTACAACCCCACCTCACAACATAAAATAGATAAAATAATTGATTCTCAGATTGTGGGTGATGTTATGACTCCTTTATCAAGAGTCATTTCATTAGATCCTACAAAATACATTTATGGTGCAAATAAAATGCACGTTTTCTCTCAACCTCACTACTTACCTGTTATGCGAAGAGAGTTCGATACGCTGGAAATAGTTATAAGATCGAGTACAGGACAAAAAATACCATTCCAGTTTGGAACCGTGTGTATTAAACTACATTTCCGAAAATTATAATAATGAATTCTCTTCGTGATCATCATAAATGTCCATATGAAAATTATTATACACATCAAGCTGGATCAGGAGTTGGAGTAATTTATAAGGGTTCACCATATCAACGCGGTCATGGTATTGGGAGCTTCTTAGGGGGGTTATTCAGATCAGTTTTACCTTTACTTTCAAGTGGTGCTCGAGTGATTGGTAAGGAGGCATTAAGCGCTGGAGTAGGACTTTTATCGGATATGGTTCAAGCCCGTCCTATGGAAGCCTCAATAAAAGATCGTCTAAAGCAAGTTAGTACGAATTTAAAACGAAAGGCTGATGAGAAAATTGATCAATTTAACATGACTGGATCTGGGTATAAAACTAAAAGAAAACGATTGACATCGTTCATTCCACCATTAACTGCTAAAGTGAAAGCTGCGAAAAAACTTTGTCTAAAACCAAAAAATATCAAAGATATATTTTCAAACTAAATATGTCTTTCCTTCATAATCATTCTTGCGAGTGCGTTAAGTCAGAATTGGATTTGTTTGCACTACCGTCTACACAAACTAGCATTGAAAATGGATTGTGGATTCATTATAAACCAATTTCATCTCTTGGTGATGATGGACCTATCGAGTTTCAAGTTCCTGGGACCGGCGATGACTACATAGATTTGTCTCATACATTACTCCACATAAAGGCAAAAGTATTAAATCAATATTCAACTAACTTTGTATCTACTATAATAGTAGCACCTGTAAATAATTGGCTGCATTCACTTTTTAGTCAACTTGATGTTTATTTAAACCAAAAACTTGTATCACCACCTAATAATACCTATGCATATCGAGCATACATGGAAACCCTTTTAAACTATGCCCCTGCTGCTAAACAATCTCATCTTACTTGTAGTCTTTGGTATGAGGATACAGCAGGAAAAATGGATTTTACAGATGGTAAAAACATAGGATTTGTTAAAAGACAGGAATTGATTAGTGAAAGTAAGGAAATAGAAATGATTGGTCATCTTCACGGTGACATTTTTAACCAAGATAAATTTTTAATTAATGGTGTTGAAATGAGTGTTAAATTGGTTCGATCAAGAGAGAGTTTTAATTTAATTGTTGGGTCAAACGATGTAAAGTTTAAAGTTTGCATTACAGACGCAACTCTTATTGTTCGACGAGCACGAATTAATCCAAGTGTATTACTCGCACATCAAAAAGTTTTAGCTTCTACCACTGCTAAATATCCTATTACTCGAGCTGAAGTAAAAGTTTTAACAATTCCTTCGGGTGTTCAAGGAAAAACTCTTGATAATATATTTTTAGGACAGGTATCGAAAAGATGTATAATTGGATTTGTGAACAATTCTGCATTTAATGGTTCCCTTATTAAAAATCCATTTAACTTTGAAAACTATGGTATTAATTCTTTCAGCTTATATATTGATGGTCAACAAATATCTTCCAAAGCTTTGCAACCATCTTTTAATAATAGCATATTTACATCAGCATATCATACTCTATTCTCGGGAACTGGTATTCACTTTCTTAATGAAGGAAATGGAATCTCTTGTGAACAGTATGGCAAAGGTTACTGTCTATTAGCATTTGA